TGATTTGTCTTATCGGTGCATCAGGCTGATTTGTCTTATCGGTGCATCAAATTGATGTATATATGTCAGTCAGTGCAGGAAATTGATTTATATCAGTCGATGCATGGAGTGTATTGATGCCTCAAAGTGATTTATTATATCAGCCAGTTGGTGCAACAAATTGATGTACAGTAGGACCTGCCATGACAGTCACCTGTAGGAAACGGCCACCTGTACAAACGGCCACTTTCCATTTCCCCCCTTGTATTTGTTATATATAGTTTAACTGTGTAAAACGGTCACCTGTTCAACGCAGCCGCAGCCACCTTATTTATCAACCTACGGTCAAATGTACCTGCCTCAGCCAGGCGTGGTCACTCATTGCCCAACGCTTTGTCATAAATTTTGAATCAGCCCCTCACACTGTGGACAGGCCGTCATAATCCTTTCTCCTGTCGTTACTTGTTAGTCCTTCCAATGAAGTTGACCCAAGTTGACCAATGGGTAACTATATATTTTCAACTGCTGGTGAGGGAAGCATGTGATCTGTCATCACCTATAAGCCCCGCCCACAACTCATGCTCAAATCGTAAGTGAGGTGACTGGTCACTGTTTTGTTAACTTGCTCTATGACATAGCATCAATGGATGTTGATGTGAACTTGCCACAGAAGCGTCGCTTGTTCTCCGAGTGGTGGCGACCCATGTGTTTGTTTTTGTCTCACATAATATTTCGTTTATTTTACCCTTGCACAAAATCAGCAACAACAACAAAAAAAAGCTTACCAGAAAACAAACCAACCAAACAACAGCAAAAACCACACACATTCTTACACCACACACTCCCCTTTTTCAAAAGAAAACAAGAATCCTTTAGAACTCGCCTTGCGGCAGTCCAAAGCTTGAGGTCAGCCTCGGTTTGGACCTCAGAAGAGATTGGTTTGCTTTCTTCATTTTGATCAGTCCTGCCTGGGACGGCCGCCTGTTGTTATACGGCCACTTTTCTCCTTGACAATGGGTGGCCCTTTTACACAGGTTTGACTGTATATATGCCAGTCGGTGCATCAAATTGATATATATATATATATATATTAGTCTCTGCATCAAATCGACATGTCTGTTTATGCATCAAACTGATTTATGTCAGTCAGTGCATCGAAATGATAAAAGTCAGTCAGTGCATCGAAATGATAAAAGTCAGTCAGTGCATCGAATTGATTTATGTCAATCAGTCGGTGCATCGAATTGATTTATGTCAATCAGTCGGTGCATTGAATTGATTTATGTCAATCAGTCGGTGCATCGAATTGATTTATGACAGTCGTTGCATGAATTCTGTGGACCATCACTTGTACAATTTCTTGGTCATTGATTCCCATTATAATCATAAAGAAATGCTTTGAATTGAGCTACTGTGTTATTGTGTCTTCACTATATTGTGTATATCTTTGTGTGTGTAGTTTGTTTGTGTTTTCCATAAAGAGAGTTGTGTGTACTTTTGTGTATGTGGAGTGTGTCTTCCATAAGTTGTGTACCTTGTGGGTGGTTGGCGGGTGCTCTGGTGTGGTTTGCTTCTTTCCTATCAAAAATCTATCGTCCTTAGCTCTCGTCCTTCATTGTTGTGTTTGTTGTTCTCTTGTAACAGCTCTAATCAGGGTAACATAGCCCTTTTAGAGTATCCGTGTACAGAAATGAATGAAGAACCATGACCGCTGTCTGCCGCAGATCTGGCACTTGTTGATGATGACTACACGTGTCAAATCTCATAACCCGCGTCGATACACTCGCAAAAAGGCCAGGTCCAGTTTATTGTTTCACGTTAAAACAGTGGGATCTAAAGCGAACAGGGATGTGGTGTCGGTAGTCTTGTGGTCAGGCTTTTACAGAGCGGGTTGTTCCAGCACGTGAGACGTATATATATATAGATATACTTACAATGTCCTGTCTTGTTGTGCGTATGCGTGAGTGACCTAACCCTTGTAACGTCTACTGCCATTGTAAACGACCAAGACAAATTTCTCCCTGCCAGATGAATAAAGATTGTCATTGTCTATCAGACCAGTAACCGTGAGATTGCGGGTTCGGGGGTTCGGGGGTTCGAGCCTCAGATCAGTCGGAAGTTGTGCCCTTGGGAAAAGCATTTATTTACACGAATTTCCCATTTACTCGTACCTCAGTCCTTTCGGAGATGGATGTTAAACTTTGAGGTCCGGCCTCTAAAATAACTTAATAGTGTTGATCGGGGCGTCAAACTATACCATGGCTTGACTACGGCTGTCAAGTCTACGGATCGGCAAAACCACACGTCTTAAAAATACTAGATCCAATACAAAACCAAGGACTCCGCCTCGCT